CAAACAAGTTGCATAAGATTAAACTTCTTCAGTGTCACAAAGGAAGCAGCCAGTGGAGTGAGAACCCAGCCTGCTGAGTCGGAAAACAAACAAGCAAAATCTTTGCTATGTCTGGTGGGAGATCAATCTTTGAAAACCATAGAGAACCCAAAAGTTAAATACCAAATATCATATAACTAATACATGAGCTAATGAATTGAATAGATAGCTCTCCAAGAAAATAAAACACAAATGGCCAATAAAGAGTTTAGGGTGTGTTTAGTATACTTAACCATCAGGAAAAAAAATTAAAATTACTTTGAGATTCCATGTCACCCTAGTTGTATCACCAAGCAAACAAATGACAATGAATGCTGGCCAGGATGGAGGGAAAGAGGGATCTTTATTTACTCTTAAGAATATAAACTGGTAAGACCTGAAACTCCCCATACAATCCAGCCATACCTCAAGGAGTCTAAGTCAGCATGCCCCAGAGATCCTCACACATCTGGGTTCACTGCTACTTATTCCTAACAGGTAAGAAATGGGGTCAAACAGCCATCAACAAACAGAAAGGGAAAACATGGGTGAATCCACACCATAGAGTTGTCTTCAAATATAAAATGGAATTAAATCATGACATTTATAGGAAAATGGATGGAAAGAAGCTAAACTAGGAAGACAAATATCATGTTTTCTCTCATATGTAGAGTCTAGATTTAAATTTATACACACATTGAACATATGTGTGTTTGTGCATGCATATATGTAGGATATGGAAGTCGGAAGTGACTAAGAGAGAAAGAGATCTAAAGGGAGGGGAAAAAGAGAGGCTAACAGGATCTGTCATGAAATCGGAAGGTGGAAAGATTCATTGACAAGACACTGAGCAGGGACATGGGGATGGGCGGGAAGGCAAGTAAAAATAAACAAATAAGTAAATAATATGTGTTATGAAAATGTCTCAAGGAAACCAATTTCTCCGTATACTAGCCAAAATTTTAAATTTTGAAAAACTACCGTAATTTAAAAAAACATTATCTCACCTCATTCTTTTTTCTTTTTCAGTAGCTTTAAGTATTTATGGTTGTATCAAGAAGTTTTATTTAGAGATGGGATCTTATTGTATATCACAAGCTGGCCTCAGGTTCATGGTGGTCCTCCCAAGTGCTGGGCTTACGGGCATGAACCACTAGGACACACTTCAGTTAAGGTTTAAAATTTTGCATAGAGTTCTCTAGACAGCTCACATCCTTCTTGGGTCTTCTCTTTAGATGCATCCTTCCCTTAGCTTAGCAAGTGACAGCTCTAGCTTAGTCTGATTTGGTGTGGCAGCTCCGCCAGTCCTCTTGGAGAGCTATCTATTCAATTCATTAGCTCATGTATTAGTTATATGATATTTGGTATTTACAGTCTAGTGATGGCTGTCTCACTTTGCCCAGGCTTGTTTATGGCTATCTTTTATGCTCTCAGAAGTATTAGGTCCAGCAAGGATGGAATCCAGTCAAACTGAACCTAGAAAGCCTCAGGTGCTCTTCTAATTGGCTCAAAACCCAATTCACATCTATTTCAGAAAAAGCAGCTGCTCTTCCAGTCTGGGGATCAGAGCGGCTTAGCACACATGCCATCTTGAAGCATCTAGTATGTCCCAAGCATTGAGACTCGGGGCAGAAAATGCAAAGGTTTGGGGCACTAATGATTCAGAGAGCAGAAGATGAGCCAAGAAAGAAAAATCCTAATGCAGCAGGTTAAATATCAGAGTGGAGGAACTCTCCACTGGTTAGAACTGGTCAGAAAGATGAGATGGAGAGGAGTAGGTAGAACTGTGTAAACTGAGGCTTGGACCTGAGCAAGAAGTCACCAAGACTTTAGTAAGAAGCATTTGGTGCATAGCGATGGAAACGTGTGAGCCTGTCCAGAATCCTGGATGGTGCTTTGGGTGTGTGGAGTTACACGTGATTGGTAGGATATAACACATATGGCAGGGAGAAGCAACAGAAGAGAGACAGTGCAGCCTTTTACTAGCTCATCATACCCTTGGGCCTCCCATTATTTTCTGCCGTAGAACCCAAGGGAAAGATCCACACTACCATTCCAAGTCCTCGGGGTGAAGAGATGATGTTACTGGGGTTACAGATATCTCCCCCAGAGTGTCATGAGGAGAGAGGCAGTTGATGCTGGTCAGATGCTGTGATTTCTCTCATTTCCATAGTTAATGCGCCCTTTCCAGGATGGTTGGTGACAAATGAAGAGAACAACCCTTGTCTCCTTTTCAGATTTACCAGGTACAGCGTCTAGAAAGTTGCCTTAGGATTACAAATTTCTCCTGGGCCCCTTGGGCTGTGTTTGGAGGCCCCACACTCTCTCCTTTCTCTCTGCAGGACACTACCACTTGGTAAGCTCCTCATGTGTGGATCAAGTCTTGCTTCCCCACCAGCCACGGAAGTGCAGAGATCTGTCAGAGAGTTCCAGTGCTCTTCCCTGCACTCCATCTAAAACCAGGAGCCAGGGAGAACAGGGATCTAATAGCACAAAATGGGATCAAAAGCAGAAAATAGACACTCTAAACCTGAAATCCATCAGCAAGACAAGGAAAAAAATATGTTTTTCAACCACTAGAGATGACAACAGCTATTGGTAAGTGTGTTGTATTCTCAAGACAGAAGTAACCCTCTACGTCATGCCTTGCCTACTGTAGTGACATTTTAGAGTGCTGGGACAGTTGTCTTTCACAAGCCTTGTGCCCAGTACAGCCTAGAGCACCGATCTGTTGTACGAGCCATTCTTTCTACAGAGAGAAGACTGGTCCTGATGTTTGACTTGCTCATGGAAAAAGAAGGAACAGTATATCCAGAAAGGGTGGCTTATGCCTTTAACCCCAGCACTCAGGAGGTGGAGACAGAACATTCTCTGTGAATTCAAGGCCAGCCTGGTCTACACAGCAAGTTCCAGGGCTACTTAGTGAGACTCTTGTCTCAAAACAAGCAATGAAACAAACAAAGAAAGAAAGCCTGCGAAGGAACCGTGTAACACCCTCCTCAGGGTCAGAAAGCCCTTGTGCTCACTAGGCAGATTAGCACCAGAGGGTATGCCAGGGCAGAAAGCCCAAGGGAGGAGAGAGGCATTACCCAACCCCTCTTGTTTTCCCAAGTGTAGTATCCCCATCCCTTGGAACCTCAAGGATACTAGGCTACTGTCAGCTTCACAGTACAAGGTGCTGGAAGGACCACAGGATGGAGGGGACATTGACTCATAAACTGGGAAAAGTAAATATTTCAGGGTCCTACACTTATGAAGGTATCAGTGGCATTTGGGAACGGGTAAGTCACCCCCTCCTGTCACTTCAGACAGAGATAGGCTCAGGCCAGAGAAGTAGTTTCATAGAGACTGGCAGAGGGTCAGACTGGGCTTTTAGATGCCCAGTGTCACCTTGTGACACTTTATCCTTACTTTCTGTTCTTAGGTCAAATGCATTGCTTCTATGGAAATGTCCCTCTCCCCTCAAGCGCTAATTTGAGACCGTCTGTTTACTTTAGGCATCTCTTTCTTGAGTATACTACTTACCCCCTCTAAGGCTTATTAACATCCTTCTTAGCATTCTACACACAGGAGTAGCATTTCCTCCTGTCCCAGATCCTAACTTCCTGTTTCATCATTAGGCATTGAACAGTGATCCAGCAATGTGGCCTGTTTCTCAATCAATCACCGAATACAGACTGTGACACATGACGAAAACAGAGCTAATGCAGCAGTCCTACCCTACACAATGTGATTTCTGTAGAAGCTGGAGGGAGGACCGACACCCAATGAGCTCCTAAGGTGAAAGATCACAAAACTGCCACACCCAGACAGAAGGTACAAATGTTTCCCTCTCACACATCTAAGATCCAGAGGTGAGAAAGGGAAATAGAGTTGAGAGTAAGGAGTGCAGTGTTTGCTGGGACCTGGATGGCCGGTGTGTTCAGAACGGTGCAGCTAGAGAAGAATCAAAGCTTTTAAAATCAATTCTGATGTTTTGCTACCACGAGTTTTTCATTTTTTTTTCTTTTGTGTTTTCTTTATCTTTTAATGGAGGTTTTCAATGCCAGCACTTCAGAATATCACCAATTTGGCTATTTTTATTTATGCTTTTAGTTGGTGGAACTGGAAGGACTTGAATCAACTCCATTTCCAATTTAATTAATTATAGCCAGGAATGTGTAATCCTGTTTGTGACAATGCCATGGAGCCTGTTTTTGGGAAGGCTTTGGACTGGGGTTCAGAAGGGAAAGTGTCACAAGTTGAAAAAGGCTTCATGAACTCAATATTAATATTAACAAGAGTACTTAACTGAAGACAACAGACTAGTTGAATGAGTCAATATGGCTTACTGTTATATTCTCCTTTTTACATTCAAAACTTACTTCAGAAATGTGAGCATTTTGTAGAGATCTGATTCTTAGTTTATTGTGAAAATTCTCCATAAAAAGGGAGAAATGGTGTGTAAAATGGCCCAGCTTCCACTGCTAATTGTTTAGTTGGGTAATTGAAATGCAAGCAAGGGCTCCCTTTCTTGATCATCTTCCAAATGAGGTGGCAAGCCAGGCCTAGATTTTGACCCTCATACTAGGATTTTTCTCTGCCTCTTCATTTGTTAAGTTGGTGTTGGAAACTCTTTTGAGTCCTTTGTCCTGCTAGTTCACTTGCTCCTTACAAAAATTTGCAAATGAGGAGCACAGTGCACTCAGCCCCGTGAGTAGAGACACAAGACTTCTAGGGCAGAAAGTCAGCGGGAGCTCTGTTTCTTCACAGGATCATGTTCTCATATTTTGGCCCAGTTCAGTTGTTCAGAGAGACTGTCCTCATTATCCTCAAGAACCGTCAGTCAAGATACAGGCTCCTGACATTTTCTTATGACTGAGCAACACCCATAGGAGGAAATTTCTCCAGCTCTGCAATCAGATAGCGACCTTGAGTTTCAGGATTGGACATCCCTCCGTCATGACCACATTCATGTTGTCTTACAGGTGGGACAGATAATAATGGCTCCTTGCGGGAACCGCAGCGATGGCACTACAGAGTTCGTCCTGGCAGGCTTCCCAAACCTTAACAGTACAGGAGTGGAACTGTTTTCTATGTTCTGTCTTATTTACCTGTTGACTCTCACAGGCAACATGTTGATTGTGGGGGTGGTAGGAGCTGACCATCGCCTGCAGACTCCCATGTATTTCTTCCTGGGTAACTTGTCCTGCCTGGAGATTCTGATCACTTCCGTCATCATTCCTAAGATGCTGAGCAACTTCCTCTCGAAACAGCACACCATTTCCTTTGCCGCATGCATTGCTCAGTTTTACTTTTACTTCTTCCTCGGGGCCTCCGAGTTCCTCCTGTTGGCCGTCATGTCTGTGGACCGCTACCTGGCCATCTGCCGTCCTCTGCACTACCCCTTGCTCATGAGTGGAGCTGTGTGCTTTCGTGTGGCCTTGGCCTGCTGGGTGGGGGGACTCCTTCCTGTACTCGGCCCCACAGTGGCAGTGGCCTTGCTTCCTTTCTGCAAACAGGGTGCTGTGGTACAGCATTTCTTCTGTGACAGTGGCCCATTGCTACACCTGGCATGTACCAACACCAAGAAACTGGAGGAGGCTGACTTTGTCCTTGCCTTTCTTGTCATTGTGTCCTCACTCGCTATTACTGCTGCATCCTACGGCCAAATAGTCGTGGCTGTCCTGCGCATTCCTTCGGCTTCAGGCCGCCACAAGGCCTTCTCCACTTGTACCTCCCACTTGATGGTGGTCACCCTCTTCTACGGAAGTGCCATTTTTCTCTATGTACGGCCATCACAGAGTGGCTCTGTGGGTGCTAATTGGTCGGTAACAGTGATAACAACATTTGTGACTCCCCTGCTGAATCCATTTATCTATGCCTTGCGCAATGACCGAGTCAAGGAAGCTTTGAAAGACGTGTTCAGAAAGGTGGTAGCAGAGCTTTCAGCAAATTCTTTCCTTTCGGAAAGTTTGAGAAAGAAGACAGTAAGCCGAGAGTAAAGGGACTCAGTCCCCCATCCCCACTGTCAGCTCTTCCTTCATCTGACCATCATGAAAGGAGCCACAGTGAGTTCCAAAGATACCAACTCTGACTTTCTTTTTCAAGTAAAACATATTGACTCTACCTTGTGCCTAGTGATAACAACGCACACTATTTTTAATATTTTGTTTTTATTTTAATTTTATATCTATGTGGAGGAAATGGGGTAGGCACATGAGAGACAAGATTCTCTGGTAGGCAGAAAGGAGAGGGGTCATGGCTAGGTAACAAAGGGGGCCAACTTCCAAGAAGGCAGCTTCTTTCTCACCCTTCTGGTCTGAGACCAAAGTCTGACAGCTTAAAACAAAGGCCTGGAAGGCTTTGTTTCTTCTGACAATAGGCCCTCGGCTGATGGACTGTTACGCAACTATTCTATCTTCAAACTCATCAATCCTAAATTAGGGGAGGGAAACTGAGACTGGTTTTGTTTGTTTGTTTGTTTGTTTTTGTTTTGGCTCCCCGAGTGCTCCCTCTGCTTTGCAGAGGCTGTTTTCCCTGTGTGTTTGCAGTGTGTGTGTGTGTGTGTGTGTGTGTGTGTGTGTGTGTGTGTGTTCTCACCCCTCAAAAACACCTTTCTTCAGCTGAATCTGTCTGCTCCCACTCTCATAGTTTGAGATTTCTCTGTTGCTACATGTCTCCCTTGAAAGATTTTTTTTCTTCCTGGTAGAGAAAATGAAGCTGATCAAGACCCCTGGATTGTATCACACACGTGAATGCAGGAGACCACTGAGGCAATCACTGGGGCTGGGAACCAAACTCAGATTGTTTGGAAGAACAGCAAGTACTCTCTCCAGCCCAATCATACTGTTTGATATACCAAGACCCAGATGATGGCTTCACCATCTGCCCATCATCATAACACCTGGGTTGTTTGAACATGTGTGCATTTGTCTGGGAATGGGGTCTGTTAAAATATCCCTAAGCGGACCTTTATGAATCTCTGTGCACATCCTCTATTCAAAAATTAAAGACTGCCTACACTTTCAATAAAGGTTTCCAAATATTTATGCAAAGCAATAATATTAGAAAAATTCCTAAAGGAGACCTGAAGGTGTAGCTTAATTGGTAGAGTGCTTGCCTAGCATGCATGAAGTTCTGGGTTTGAGCCTGATTGCTTTGTAAACTCAATGTGATAGTGTGTGTCTGTAATCCCAATATTTGGAAGGGATTAGAAGTTCAAGGTTATTTTTGCCTACATGGAATTTGAGTCCAGCCTGGGATACATAAGACCCCATGAATGATGATGATGATGATGGCAGGGAAGATGACTCAGTGGATTAAAGCACAAATTCTGCATCCTCAAGGATCTGAGTTCAAATCCCTAATACCTATGTAAAAAGTCATCATGCCTGTGAGTGCCTGCAGCTCCAGCTTTGGGAAGAGAGATGGATCCTGAGAGTTCACTGGCCAGCCAGCCCAGGGACAGTGGTGAGCTTCAATTCAGTGAGAGACCCTGTCTCAGGGTAATAAGAAGGAGTTCAACTGAAGATACTTAGCATCCTGCTTTGCTTCTGAATGGGGAAACATGTACCACATATACACCAACTCATATACCACATGCCATACACATCACTCCCATAAGCCCCCCCACACACATAAAAAGGCATAAAAATAAACTCATGTGAGATACTCCTGTCTTCATCCTCCTTTGTCAGATTTTCTTATTTTCAGTTGTTTTCTTTTGCTCTGTTCTTCTTGTTTTTGTGTATATGTGTATATATGTGTGCATGATTATGATTTGCGTGTGTGTGTGTGTGTGTGTGTGTGTGTGTGTGTGTGTGTATGTGTGTGTGATGTGTGCACATATGTTTCTGAGTGTGAGTGAAAGTGAATGCATGTCATGGCACATACATGGTGGTCAGAGGACAACTTTGGTGTTGGCCCTTGCCTTCAAAGTTGTTTGAGACAGGGTCTCTTTGTTTTTGGTCAATGTGCACACTAGTAGGCTAAGCTTCAAGGGAAGCTCCTGCCTCTACCTTCCTCCGCATAGGAGCACAGGGATTGTAGACGTGTGCTGCGGTACACTGCTTCGCTGTTTGTTGGTTTTGTTTTTTCTAGACAGTGTTTCTTTGTGTAGCCTTGGTTCTCCTAGAATTTGCCCTGTAGACCAGGCTGGCCTCAAACTTACAGAGATCTGCCTGCCTCTGCCTCCCAAATGCTGGGATTAAAGGCGCTCGCCACCACCGCCTGGCTCTGTACCCTGCTTTTGTTCACGTACTAAGGATCAAATTCATGTTCTCATACCTGCCCAGCAAGTGTTTTACCCACTAAGTGATCTCCCCAACCCCAGTTTTTTTTTTTTTTAAATCTCTGTGTGTGTTGTTAAATAATGGTGTCTCAAGGGCCTTTTGCTTCTGACTTTATGCTCTCTTTAAGAATTTTCATATTGGTGGCTAAGATATTTTTATCTCTAGGCTTAATCTCTCACCACAGGTTGATTGTCAACCTAACTTTATGGAGATATCTCCAAGTCAATATGCTCAAGACTAAACTTGTCAGTTCCTCATCCCTTTTCACTACTCTTTAGTTTTTACCTCAGTACAAGATCTGACCATTTCATTATTGCATTCAATCTCCTACCAAGACTTATCCTCACTGCCTGGTCACCTCTGGTCAGCCCTAAATCTATCCAATTCTCTTCAGTTCTGCAGCATCCTAAGTGATATATGCTTTCTTTCTTTCTTTAGTTCTTTCTTTCTTTCTTTTCTTTTGTTTTTTTTTTTTTTTTTTTTGAGATAGGGTTTCTCTATGGCTGTCCTAGAACTCACTCTGTAGACCAGGCTGGTCTCAAACTCACAGAGCTGCCTGCTTCTGCCTCCCGAGTGCTGGAATTAAAGGCGTGCAGCATCACTGTCTAGCTACCTCTTCTATATTCTAACCATCTCAATTCTAAATTCCACGGAAATGAAAGACTTTCTCATCTCACCAATGCACTCAATTATTATTAGTTTATATAAAAAATTAAATTAATTCTGAGTTTGGTTTAAAGAAATTTTTAGAGAGTAGTTCTTATATGTTTAAAATAAAGTGTGAGTGTGAGTGTGTGTGTGTGTCTACATGAGAGTATGCTATATATGTGAAGTACTCTTGGAGGCCAGAAGAGGGTGTCAGATCCCCTGGAGCTGGAGTTACTGGCAGTTTGGAGACGAAGGGTACTTGCTGCTCTTGCTGAAGCTATGATTGGGTTCTCAGCACCCATGTCAGTTAGCTCATAACCACCAGTAACTCCAGCCTCCGGGGAACCAACACTCTCCTTTGGCCTCCACAGCCACCCATGTACATGTGACACACACACACACACACACACACAGACACACACACACACACACACACACACCACACACACACACACACACACACACACACAGACACACACACACACAGACACACACACAAATCCACATATATAGGGGCTTAGAGATTACTCAGTGATTAAGAGTACAAACTACTCTTCCTGAGGACCTGAGTTCAGTTCCTAGCACAACCACTGTGACTCCAATTTCTCTGGCTTCCTCAGGTGCCTATACAAACATGGTGCACATTACAGAGAAATGGACATTCACATAAAATAAAATAAATAAGTCTTCACATACACAAAGTTAAAATCTCAAAAATTATTATGTGATATCTTCCATATATAAAGCTGCCTGATGTGGATAAATTACAGAAGGAACAGGGTGTCAGGCCCAATCACAAAGGACATGTAATCTGAAAACCATGACTCTGCTTAAATAAGTGCTTTTAAAGTGAATTCTGATGCCAGTGTAGAGGAAGGACAGGCATGTAGAGAATGCAAGTAGGCCAGCCAAGATGCAGCGGCCATCACAAATGCAGACAACAGTAAAGGCCAGAGTCACCTTTACAGTAAATGGCACATGAAATGTTGTAAAGAACTTTCTTTTACAAAACATAATGACCAGAGAAACACAGAGTCATTCAGGAAGCAGGATGATTCCATTTCATTCAGCACAAACATTAAAAAGAGAGAGAACAGGAAGAGGGACAAGGCTATAAACCTCTAAATATCACCCCCAGTGACATACTTCCCCCAGAAAAGCTCCACTTCCTAAAGGTCCCATACTTTCCCAAATAGCACCACCAACTCCAGACCAAGTGTTCAAATACCTTAGCTTGTCTTATTTAAATCACAACAGTATGTAAAATTTTCAGAGAACCTCACCCTAAATGCAAATAGCACAAGATGAACCCAGATAAAGCCTTCTTAAACATAGGAACACATACAAAACACTTCCTCAAGGTTGATGTGAAGATCTGTAATGATAACTCTTTCTACCAGCCGCCTGAGTTCTGCTGCCATGTTAGGGCCCCAAATAACACACAGAGACTTATATTAGGTACAATGCTGCTGGCTAATGACTAGGATTTCTTAAATGCAAGCTCAGTCTTAATTATCAACCATAACTACTGATCTATATATTTTATAAGGACTTATTGAGGACCCCAGCCTTATGTGTCCTTTCTTGCTGGTGATCACATGGCAACTTCCCTCTACTACATTTCCCAGAATCCCCCTTCTCTCCTAGTCCTGCCTAACTTGCTTCCCTATTGGCCAACAGTGTTTTATTTATCAATCAATAAGACAAACATATACACAGAAGGACTTCCCCCATCATCTCCTCTTTTTGTCTAAATAAAAAGAAAGATAACTTATCTTTTATAATAACGAAGAAAACTATAACCATAACTATGTGTCTTTAACTCTATCAAAGACCACAGAAGGAAAATATATAAACTCTAGAATTGACAGAGACATCTGGCTACCTGGACAGTCACCCTCAGTTCTTCTGTAATGTTGGGGCATCCATCCTCAGCCCATAGGCCACAGTGTGTCTGGCACACTTCTCCATTTCAAATCAAAGACCACAGAAGGATAATATATAAACTCTAGACCTGACAGAGACATCTCGTTACCTGGACAGTTACCCAAAGTTCCTCTGCA